GAGTTCAGGAGGGCATTTTATTCAATATGAAGCTAATATCAAGAACACAGGAATACGGCCTCTAACTTACAGCAGTAGAGTATAGCACTAACCTTAGAAAGAGTATATGATTCTTAGAACAGACGTCCAACATGGGTATAGAGACAGTAAGTGAATTTTAAAAAGGTTTGGGACAAACACAGATTTATTCCTGGATAAACAGGTTACAAAAATCTTACAAATGTTTACAAAAAGGACAGACTTGATGGACCACTTGATCCTTCTCTGCCATGGTTTCTATGTTCACTTTAATTGCAGCCCCATCAGCACAAGTGCTTTTGCTATGCTATGTCAGTTACTCCTGGGAGAAAATAGGTTCAGAGTATGGGTAGCATGTGACTGTCACCTAATGCAGCTTTGCAACAGCGAGTGAGTCCTAAACCCTGCGCACATTCAGGAATAGGAGCTTCCACGGGTTCAATTATTCCTTGCTCCTGATGGCTGAACGTAGCAAAAGGGAAGAAAGATTGTGGGGCTAGCACTAAAGCTCCGCTAAGGGCACGAGAAAAAAATACCTTTGTAGTAGGGCTTCTGCACTGCAAAAGTTAAATATTCATTAACTCTAGGGATTAGGAAAGGAGGCTGCATTTTTCCCCCTGTGCAGACGCTCTCCTCTTCTAAGCTGTGGGCACTCTTGGTGTCATCACGTACAGTGCAATACATTTTTTGCGAGGAGGTAGTTGTGCAACCACAGCCCAGAGCGCTTTAGAGAGGACACACTTGGGGGACTGGTTGCTCAGATTGAGGGAGTCTGCCATAGCGGAGAATAGGTGAAGTATTACACCTTATTCCTCTACCCCTAGGCAAAAATGTGTATTTAAACCTTGCAAGAGTAGCTTTTTTTTTTCTTGTGCCCTGACTTGGGCTTTAAAACCTATAGCTGTGAATTGTTCAGTGAAAGGGGTTACATTTTAAAGTTTAAAAAATTAAAAGCTTATTTAATATGCATTTTTAAGTTTATATTGTAGTAATTCTCTGGAAGAACTTTAATGTTCTCTTTTTATGATGCAAAGCAGTCACCTTTATAATATATTTGCTGCTGGCCTGGGGGGTGACTATATTCTACTCCAGGGGTAGCCAAACTCCGGCGCTCCAGCTGTGGTGGAACTACAAATCCCATGAGGCATTGCAAGATTCTCACAGCCACAGACGTGACTCCCGGAGAGAACTGCATCATGGGAGTTGTAGTTTCACCACAGCTGGAGGGCCGCAGTTTGGTTACCCCTGTTCTACTCAGTCATAGGCAAGATTGTTGGATTGACAACTTTACTATACATTACCAGAATTACAAGCTGTTACAGTGGTGCAAGCAGGACTTTTCGGTCCTTATTCTGATGGAAAGATAGCTCATTTTACCTTACATTTTGCCTGTCCTTTTTGAGGGGAAAAAGGGTAAATGTCAGAGATTAACCTTCAATATTGTAATATTTTTTTTTTTCTCCCTCAAATTTTAGGTCCCGCTCACGTAGGAGTAGTCCTTCTAGATCAAGGTTAGTATTTTTATTTTGTGGGGAAAGGGGATTTACACGTCATGTTTTTCATGGCCTTTGAATGAGAAATGTGCTGTTTTTTTCTCTTTTTATTCATCTGTTTTTTTTTTTTGTGTTTTTTTTTTTTCTTCTAATTTTTCAGATCTCGTTCACGCAGCAGGAGCAGAGGGCATAGTAGGAGAAGCCGGAGTTACAGCAAAGACAGCAGGGACAGCAGGAGTAAAGAAAAAAATGGAAGTAAGCAGAGGGATCACAGCAGCAGTAAAGAGAGAAGTCCAGACTTGGAGCGCAGTGAAAGAGATAGGAGCGAGAGCAGAGAGAGACGAGATAGTGATGGAAGTGCGAGAAAGGATAGGGACAGAAGTGGCAGCAGACATAGAAGAGATAGGAGCAGAAGCAGGAGTAAGGACAGGAAAGAGAAGAATAGCAGACGGAGCAAGGACAGGAGAGATAGAAGTCATAGTAGAGAGAGAAGTAGCAGCAAAGACCGAGATGCCAGAAAAAGGAGGGAATCCTGTAGCTCGGAAAGGAGCCGTAGCAATGACAGTAGAAAGAATGGTAGATCAAGCCGTAGTCTTAGCAAAGAGAGATCCCGGAAACGTAGCAGGGAGAGAAGTGACAGTGAAGAGGGCTCCAAGAAAAGCAAGAGAGAGGACCCAGTGGCATTTACTACAGAATCTGACCAGGAACATGAAATTGAGGAAGGTGAGATTGACTACCCTAGGTCTGCCACAGCCAACGTTCCTGCTCCATCATCTCCTCCATCATCCCTTCCATCATCTCCCCCACCATCTTCCCCACCTGCTGAACCTGTTGCCACACAGGAAATAGAAGCAGAAGAGGAAGCAGAACCCTCAACAGTCGATTCTCCTTCCAAACCGCAATCTATGTCACCCTCCACCACAGAGGCTTGACTTTCTTTTTTTCTTTTTCTTTTTTTTCCCCGACTTTCGTTTTCTAGAATGAGCTCCACTTGGCTTTGTTCATGTTGAATATTTTATATTTATTTCATTTTTTTTAATTAATATATATCTTCTGGCCTGTTAGCACCCTACTCAGTATGATCTTTATTTCAGAATGTAAAAGTGCTACAAACTAAAAGTTGTCTAGTCTTAAAGCGGCAACGCACAATTGATGCGGCATAAAAAGGCGAAACTTTAAGAGGCAGTAAAGCTGCACTGTCTATAAGGAAGATAAAGAAAAACGTACGGTCACTGAGTAATACTGAACAAATGTGTAGTTCCTATCCTTTAGGCCAGCATTTGTAAAGGGGCAAGGGATCAGTCTCATTCTTTGCCCAAAGTATGCCACACGGGTATAATCCGGTTGTACACTCCTCTTTAGATATACTGACTATTTTGTGCAAGCAAATACCTGATTTGATACAGAGTTTTAGGTAGCTCTTCAAACGACGTGGTTGTTGACAATTCTGAAGAATATTGTACTATGAGATTGTAACTTGTGGCCATCTTTACTAATATGAATCAGATTCTCCTATGTAGAGATGCTGAATATTATAATATGTTCAAGGCTGTCATACCAGCTTGTCTGGTAATTAATGTGGGAATACTGTCTTATTAAGTATTACTAATGAACATAAGCATGTCCTAATGTTTTTAGTGCAGCTTTCACTGCTCTTATTAATGGTATGAGTAAAGGGCATAATGCTGATGAAATAGTGATAGCTGAGATGATTTAGGTAAAGCCACACACCTTGCCTGAAAATCTCTACGCTAACATTGTGTGCTTCTTTTCACCCTTGTAATAATTTGTGTCCATTTAGAAGTGTTTGACATTGAATTGGTCAAGAAGTGCTCAGGGGAAACCAGTTGTGTAAAATTGTTTATAATCTTTAGGATTTCCCAACTCTGTACCTTCTCATACATATGATTGTTTTTTTTTCCTCTTGTAATTTTCATTTTTAATGATGGTGACTGCCCTCCTGGATTTCATCACTATTTGAATAAAAAATATTTTTGCTTCAAAAGGCATTTGGGTGGTTATTTTAGACATAAACAATTCATCCCCACACAGCTACCTCTTCATGTATCACTTCCCCCTCCCTTTTAGATTGTAAGCCCTCAGGGGCAGGGCCCTCCTTACCATCCTGTCTTGAAATTTATTGTGATTGTAATGTCTTCCTTGTATTGTAAAGTGCTGTGCAAAATGTTGGTGCTATATAAATCCTGTATAATAACAGTGTTGATAATGTTAACTCTGAACTTCAGAGTTTTCGGAAAATACATTGGTGGGAATTTATTAAAACTGGAGCAGTTGCCCTTTCTCTCATTCACTCTCTCAAAACTGAAGAGAGAAGCTGATTGGTTACCTGGAGCAACTGCCAAAGACCCTGTTTGCTCCAGTTTTAACAAATTCCCCCCATTGTATATCTTTGTTTATAATGCTTTTTACTTTAGCTACTTAAACTGCATCAAAACCCAAGACAAAAATGTAATCATTTTGCATTTTACCAGGCCTTGCATGACAAGGCATTGTAGTGAAGGGGCAATGTTGCCACCCTAAGACAGGCAATGTTAGGACTGCATCTCTCCCTATCTCCATAACATAGGGTGGTCTGTAGTAGAGCTGCAGCTAACGATTATTTTCAAAATCGATTAGTTAGCCGATTATTAGGTTCGATTAATCGGTTAATCGGATAAACAATAAAATACAAGTTTAAAAAATGGCTCCAGTGATAGGACTACTAGTTTGTATTGAGGTTGTAGTCCATCACAGGAGTAAGCTTGGAGCGGTGGAAGTAAAAAAGAAAAAAGATAGTGTGGTGTGCAATATGGTGAAATGGAAAGTGTAAAATTATACAGCAATGAATGCAGAATGGCATCGGCTATAGAGGACTACAAAACCCAGCAAAAGCACATTATACAGCGCAATGCAGAATACCGCCAGCTATAGAGGAATACAACAAATCGCAGCAATAGTACATAATAGCTGGCGGTATTCTGCATTGCGCTGTACAATGTACTATTGCTAGGTTTTGTAGTCCTGTATAGCTGGTGGTATTTAGCATTGTACCACTTTATAATGTATTATTGCTGGGATTTGTTGTAGTGCTCTATAGCTGCTGGTATTCCGCATTGCGCTGTATAATGTATTATTGCTGTGACTTGTAGTCCTCTATACAGCGCAATGCAGAATATCACCAACTACAGAGGAGTACAACAAATCCCAGCAATACATTATACATACAGTGTATAATGTATTGCTGGGATTTGTATTCCTCTATAGATGATGGTACATTGTGCTGTATAGTATAGTATACAGCACAATGTACCATCAGCTATAGAGAAATACAAATCCCAGCAATACATTATAGAGTACCATGTGTGGGAAAGTGCAGGCTTACCTGAGCAGTCTTCCAGCAACTTGCTTCTGAGATTGGACCTGTCTATCAGCGGCTGTCATCCCCCCACACCTGCTCCTCCTTACTACATCTCCCCGCGTCCCTTGCCGATCGTGGATGTGGATGGGCAGGAAATGTGAGGCGGGGAGGAGGTGCGGCATGTGGAGCGTGAATGCGAGCGGGTCTGGCAGCGGCGAGCGGGAAGTGGGGAGGAGGTGCGGCGCACAGCGTGTGGAGCTGTGGACAGGGCCAACTGATCGGAAGCCGATTAATCGATTATTGAAAAAGTTGACAACTTTTTCAATAGATTATAATCGATTATGTCGATTAGTTGTTGCAGCCCTAGTCTGTAGTCCACAGAAGAGAACTGGGCGGGCATAATAACACACTTTGAGATTGCAGCGTTTAAGTCAGCTCAGTGGATTTCTGGCTGGATTGCCAGGTTTTTATTTGGGGGGTTTTTTTGTCCTGTATTTGCAACATTTTTAGAGACAAACTTTTGCCTTGACATACTATATTCAACGTAAGGAGTTCATTTCTTTACATTGGTTCAAACGAAAAAAAACATCCAGTGGTGCTCAGCTTGATCGATAACGATATGAGTACTTAAAGAAATAAGGAGCATTACGGACTTTGCTCAGTATCCTAGTACTCTTGAAGAACTAAAGTTGTTACAGCAGTAGGGCTAGACAGCTTAGCACAGTTAGAAAATAAAACCTTTTAAAAGGAATATGTTGGTTGCATTTAAAGCTTTTATATACTTGGGGCAGCCATATCTATTCGATGCACACACCGGCTTTCCTTCTTTGGAGTGCTGCACAGTGTTTGCTTTAGTGCCTTTTCACTGTCTGTTTGGGGTTTGGCAGACTCATTGAAACTATGCACTCCCTCGGTGGCTGCTATCTTGGCATTATAGAATGGGGGAGGAACAATTGCAAACTTGGTTTTTGCTCCTTCTAGTGACTAATCTAGAAATGCCTTTTCTGCCACTCCCAAGACTTATCATTTTGCAGATGAGAGTTGCCTGACTGTCATGTTAACCTTCTTGCTTTATCACTAAGAACTGGGTATGCAAAAAGAGTTATGCATTTTGTGATCTGTAGATTTCTTCCAGGTTACTGACTCTGCATTGATTCCAGATTGTGATTTAACCCCTTCGTGACTGAACTTTTAGTTTAATTACTGACTCACTTTTTACGCATTTGCTGTGTGATTCTTCCACATCAGTAATGTACTTTCTTACGAAGTGCACCCACACATTATATAGTTTTTTAGAGGACAGATTAAGCTATACATTTATATCGCATGTGTGTGTCTAATGCCTCACTCAGTATGAATAACATTAAAAAAAAAGAGGAAAAAACTTACGGAAAACATTTTTCCCAAGTTTTTTATTTTTTTAGAAAAATAGCACAGCTAAAAAAAAAATGCAATCCAATAAAATTCATTTATTTGTCCTTTTATTTGGAAACCTCTCATATCCCTAGGATTTTAGACATTTTTCTGTACTTATTAGCCTAAAACTGAAAGCTAACATTTTATTTTTCTTTCTCCAAAAGCTAATAATGGTCACCTGGCATATAATGTCACACTTAGTGACAGGGACAAACTGAACATCGCCATCATAAGGGTGTTAAATGTAAAAAATTCCAGACTAGGAAGGGAAACCTCTGCAGAAATTCACCCCCCAAAACAGTTCAGGCCTTTTGTATCTGGTCCACCTGAACATCACTTTCTGAGGTGAATGTAGCTGTTGGAGCAGTGCTTTCACGACAAAATGCTTCCGGCAAACGGAGGTCCTGTGATTTTCTTGGTAAAAAGTTCTTGCCTGCTGGGAACAATCCACTCTTGAAGAGGTAGCAATTCTTCTGGAGGTAGCAATTTTCCTTACTATCTTTCCAGATCATAGGAATCTTAAAATCTTCAGACTCTCTCCCTGTAATTTTTTCAATTTTGATTTCACTCTGTTCTATCGCCCAAAGGATACTTCAACTCATACAGGGTCCTGGTCCTTTGAAGTTGTGGAGCCTGAACCTATATTGATACAGAGGTTTCTGGGGGAAACAAGTATTCAACTCAAGGGCAGATCTTGTTGGCAGCTGTTGCCAGTCCAGATGCAATAGAGGTTCCCAAACTGGGGTTGTATACAGCAATGGCTATTACCCCTTTCAGGTTGTGCTGGTTATTACTGGTCAACTTCTTGTATTCTGTTCCTCTGACTTTTTTCAGGACTGCACTCGTCTGGTGACGTGGAGGGTGAGAAAAACTCAACTGAAACCTGTTTTCCTCTAGAATCCTGAATGAAACCATCCATCTTCTTAGTTGCTGAAAACAAGCTCCACAACCTAACGCCACTCACACTCCACCTTGGGGGACATGTACTTAAAGCACAACTTCAGGAATTACACAAAAATGACCCTTGCATTGGGGCCTTCTGCACTGCAAGAGTAAAAAACAAAGTATTTTCTCACTTTTCCTGCCAATTGGAATATTAAAGGTTCTCATTCACAGCATAAAACTGTTTCTTAAATGTTCTTCTTTATTCCTGAAGTTTAACTTTAA